AGAGTCGGACATGACATAATGACTGAACAATAACAACTTGTACTTGTGTATGTGTGTATGTATGTGTTATGCAGTATTTTACAAGACTACTGACATGATAATGATAAAATAAATTTAAGAATAACACATGTGTGTTGAATACAGTTTTCTCTTTTAGACCATAGAAAAAGACAATAAGTGGGCATAGGGCTAGCTCTCTTAATAGTAATATGTCTAGGAGCTATGTCTCCCATAGTGAGTTCTTCATATTTTCTCATTCACTTTAGTCTTCTGGATTGGTGACACATGTAACCAGAGATATATATTGATTCTATTTGTTGTAACTTTGTCTTCCTATATGTAAGGTCGACTGGGCCATAGCAACATCTAGCAAGTATAGTCCAGTTGTATCTACATTCATACCGGACCTCCTTTTTTTTTTTTTTGCTTGCATTTTATTTTATTTTTTAATTAATTAATTAATTAATTTTACTTTACAACATTGTATTGGTTTTGCCATACATTGACTTGAATCTGCCATGGGTGTACATGTGCTCCCCATCCTGAACCCCCCTCCCACCTCCTTCCTCATTCCAGTGCACCAGCCCTGAGCACCCTGTATCATGCATCGAACCCGGACTGGCGATTCGTTTCACATACGATAATTTACATGTTTCAATGCCATTCTCCCATATCATCCCGCCCTTGCCCTCTCCCACAGAGTCCAAAAGACTGTTCAATACATCTGTGTCTCTTTTGCTGTACCCCAGTGTTCATCGCAGCACTGTTTACAATAGCCAGGACATGGAAGCAACCTAGATGTCCACGAGCAGATGAATGGATAAGCAAGCTGTGGTACATATACACAATGGAATATTACTCAGCCTTAAAAAGAATACATTTGAATCAGTTCTAATGAGGTGGATGAAACCAGGCCTCCTTTCAATTAGAAATTGAGAGATAATTTACAATGATATATGTGTACAATATTTTAAAAAATATAATTAAACAGGGACTTCCCTGGTGGTTCAGTGTTTTAAGAATCTGCCTACAAATTCAGTATACATAGGTTTGATCCCTAGTCTAGGAAGATTCCACATGTCATGGGGCAACTAAGTCCATGTGTCACATGGGCTACTGAGCCTGCCTTCTAGATCTATGAGCCACAAGAGATGCCACCCCAACAAAAAGTCCACACACCACAGCTAGAGAGTAGCCCCCACTTGCTGCAGCTCAAGAAAGCCTGCACAGCAATAAAGAACAGCAGAGCCAAAAATAAAAAAAAAAATTAAACAGGTAAGTAGAAGAACATGGAGAAATAAATATCAAATGAAAACAATATAAACCCATAAGGAAAAGTACCATCTTAACCACGTGTCACATGTTTCCCATACACTTTAAAAATCATCAAAGTAAATAGACTAAAACAAGTATGACTTAGTAAAATATATTTTTCTTATAACTGTTCAGTTCGGTTCAGTTCAGTTGCTCAGTTGCGACCCCATGGACTGCAGCATGCCAGGCCTCCCTGTCCATCACCAACTCCCAGAGCTTGCTCAAACTCATGTACATCTCATGAGTGATGCCATCCAACCACCTCATCCTCTACTATCCCCTTCTCCTCCCACCCTCAATCTTTCCCAGCAGCAGGGTCTTTTCCAATGACTCGGTTCTTCGCATCAGGTGGCCAAATTATTGGAGCTTCAGCTTCAGATTCAGTCCTTCCAATGAATATTCAAGACTGATTTCCTTTAGGATGGACTGGTTGCATCTCCTTGCTGCCCTAGAGACTCTCAAGAGTCTTCTCAAACACCACAGTTCAAAAGCATCAATTCTTCGGTGCTCAGCTTTCTTTATAGTCCAACTCTCACATCCATACACGGCTACTGGAAAAACCATAGGTTTGACTAGATGGACCTTTGTTGGCAAAGTAATGTCTCTGCTTTTTAATATGCTTTCTAGGTTGAACATAGCTTTTCTTTCAAGGAGCAACCATCTTTTAATTTCATGGCTGCAGTCACCATTTGCAGCAATTTTGGAGCCCAAAAAAATAAAGTCTCTCACTGTTTCCATTGTTTCCCCACCTATTTGTCATGAAGTGATGGGACCAGATGCCATGATCTTAGTTTTCTGAATGTTGAGATTTACACCAACTTTTTCACTCTCCTCTTTCATTTTCATCAAGGTGCTCTTTAGTTCTTCACTTTCTGCCATAAGGGTGGTNCCTCTTTTTAAGTAACATCTTTACTATTCTTTCATGTGCAGTATGGTATTGGTACCCAGAATGTCTCTTGATTTCCCTCCATGTCATGTTCTTTCATTTTTGTCTCTGTATCTTTGCTTAGAAAGCCCATCTCAAACTCTTCTCTCTCTCTCTCTCTCTCTTTTTTTTTTGGTGATATTCCATACAACATTTAAAATCAACCTTAGTGTTTGCTCTCTCTGAAGACTTTCCTCAGATCACAGAACAGATTAGTGTGATCCACCCTATCTCCTGTAGACCATAATCAGAATTTTAAGCAAATCTCTAAGATAGTTCCTCTCAAAACCCTTGTAATAATTTTTGGATGTTTATTAGCGTCAACAGACTGAGATACAGAGAATATATCTGGTTAAGTTCTACAATTTCAACTAGGAGTACCTTATAAATGAATATTCTGTGAGTAACAGATACAGAGTAAATTGTGGGATCCTTTATATTAGCTTAATGATGGAGCTCACAGTAGCAGTAAGTGAGAATCAACGAGGAGAAAAGTCAGATAGGAGAGAGACAGACTCATGTGAGGACTGAGTGCCACAACACCTCAAAGTAAACCGTGAGTTTAGAAAAATAACCTTATAAAAATCTTTCCTTACTCTGAATTAATCTCATAATTAGTAGATTCATTTAAAAAATCCATAGGAGCTCCTGAACTCGTCAGCGGAGTTATTTTATACAGAAGTCTTGTGAGACCGCTGTGCAAACAAGGCGATGATTGTACAGAGTAGTATTGAATTCCAGACCTGGAAAAAATGGTCATCCAGTGGCAGAAAATTTCCGAGTAGAAGAAGTAAACTTACCAGATTGTGTCAATGAAGGACAAGTACAAGTCAGAACTCTTTATCTTTCCATGGATCCTTACATGCATTGTAGAATGAATGAAGACACTGGCAGTGACTATATAACACCTTGGCAGCTGTCTCAGGTGGTTGATGGTGGAGGTGTTGGGATTATAGAAGAAAGCAAACACACAAATTTTATGAAAGGCGATTTTGTGACTTCCTTCTATTGGCCCTGGCAAACCAAGGTTATTCTGGATGGAAATATCCTTGAAAAGGTAGACCCACAGCTTGTGAATGGACACCTTTCGTACTTTCTTGGAGCTATAGGGATGCCTGGTTTGACTTCCTTGATTGGGGTACAGGAAAAAGGTCATATAACTGCTGGATCTAATCAGACAACAGTTGTTAGTGGGGCTGCTGGTGCTTGTGGATGCTTGGCTGGGCAGACTGGCCATTTGCTGGGCTGTTCCAGAGTCGTGGGAATTTGTGGAACACCTGAGAAGTGCCTCTTTTTGACCTCAGAATTGGGTTTCGATGCTGCAATTAATTACAAAGAGGGGAATGTTGCAGAACAACTCCATAAATTATGCCCAGCTGGAGTGGATGTTTACTTCGACAATGTTGGCGGTGACATCAGTGATACAGTGATAAGTCAGATGAATCAGAACAGCCACATCATCCTATGTGGTCAGATTTCTCAGTACAACAAAGATGTGCCTTATCCTCCACCACTACCCCCTGCTATAGAAGCAATCCAGAAAGAAAGAAACACCACAAGAGGAAGATTTCTGGTGTGAAATTATAAGGATAAATTTGAGTCTGGTATTCTCCAGCTGAGTCAGTGGTTTAAAGAAGGGAAGCGAAAGATCAAAGAGACCACGATAAGTGGGCTGGAAAACACGGGAGCTGCATTCCAGCCCATGACGACAGGAGGTAACACTGGAAAGCAGATAGTCTGCATTTCAGGAGATACCTCTTTGTAATCTCCATAAACATCTTCATCAAGGAAATACATGGACTTCTTTCCATTCTGCTGAAAGATTTCAAGATATATTAAAAAACCCTTAAGAGTATAGATAGTTTTTGCTTTCGATGTGATAATAGGTGATATTTTCTTAGTTGCACAACATAATTCACTCCTATATCTTCAATATCATATATGTACTCTACATCCTATATGATTATTTACAATAATAGATTGATGTCAATATGACCTATTTTTCCTTCTTTTGCTAAAACTAATATTACGTGAAATTTATATCAGATATTCAGAAACTGTTGGAGATTTAATGTAACTTTAATAGTTATTACATAGTTAAATAAAAATATTTTTAAATTAATATTTTTATAACTTTATAATGTTTGTTTAAAATAGAATGCTTGATAAGACACAAATATATATTCACTTGGAAACAGTTTACATAATTCTTGAATTGTAGCTTGGTGCAAGAATAAATGGGATGGTATTTCCATATTGTGTTGATGGAAAAGGGACTTAATGGCAGGGTGTGTGTGTGTGCAGGGGTTTGGGGAAATTCAGAGCTTGTGGAACAGTTTTTGGAGTAGAACAGAGGCTTTGTGTCAGAAGTAGTATAAGTTAAATAACTGAGGCTGGTTAGGTTGATGGAGGGACTTACTACAGAAGATGATCTATTTGTGTTTTGCCAAGTAGTACCTAGTATAGCCTAAAAACCCAAATCTATATTGATAAAAGCCTATGTTTATTTTAGGTTAGTAGGTGCATACTGTCAAATAGTTACAAAGATTTCAAGAGAAATAGGTATAGACATCACTTCAAGTTTTAAGTGATGAAAAAGATTTAAACAGTACAGCTTCAAAAAATGACAACTGACTGAGCAAAAGTAACAAATGGTTGTAAACATGAATGTTCAGGACCTATTAATGTATCTCTATATAAAAGCATTTGTGTTATACATTGTAATCAACACTTTCATACAGTAAAATTGAGGATTTTTTTGAAAAAAAAATAATAAAAAAAAATCCATAGGAATATGGTAACATTTTTGGAAATGCTTAGTATTACCAGTCTAATCCATATAGATTTCACCTAATGTGAGTTATATTTTTAAAGGAAGTCACTTCCCTTAGTTTGCACATTGAAGGCATTTTTATTTTATTACATATGGCCTTTCTTTCTGGCTGTGACAAGCTAACACAGTCCAATTTTCTTCCAATTATATAGTACAGAGAATTTCTCCTAGGAGCTGCTTTTGAAGATTAAAGCATATAAATAATTTTATTAATGCAATTTTATTTTATTATATAGCAGCGAAATTCAGCAAACCTAAATGCTTCATGAATATCAGCATTATCTGAATAAAATTTAATTTACCAATGGTACAATGTGAAAATGCCCTGGTTAGCTGTTGCAAAATGAGTATGAATGAATATCCTAACAGTTACTGCTTGCTATGAATCATCAAAGTTTCACCAGAAATTGAAAAAACTAGAAATACTGGGCTCAGTAGCACCCTTCAATTGTGTCCATTTTGTGTTTTACAAACTGGTTATCTGAAACTTTATTTAGCCTTACTACAACTCTATAACCTAAATAAATTGCCACTTTATTTTGCCTAAGTGAGGGAAAGAGACTCAGAGATTTGAAAGTAACTTTCCAGGGTCATCAGACAGAGAAGGGCAGAGCTGGGTCTAGAACTTAGATTACGTGACTCTTGGCTCAGTACTGTTTCTCCTCTTGAATAATTCTATTTCAGCCTCGGAATGGCTTATTAGAAGCTGTGCTGTCGGGTTGAGAACTGTGAAATAAAAGGGAGTACAAAAGACATAGAGGGAGCTAGAAGAAAATTTTTTAAAAATCACTCAGAAGATTTGTATTCATACACTGATTCTTGCAAGAAATCCTGAACATCTATTTTGAACCTTTCACTCTTAATTATAGAAAATTTAGCACTTAACATATGTATTATTTAAAATATCTCATTTTCAACAAAAACTGTGACACATACAAAGAAGGAGGAAAGTCTGGCCCATGTACAGGGGGGAAAGAAATAGACCATAAAAACTTCCTGAGGTGGGCCTGACATGAGATCTACTAACAAAGAACTTAAATCAACTTTTGTAAATATATTCAAAGAACAAAAGAAATAATATCTCTATCAATAAAAGGAAACATGGGACTGATATCTCACTAGATAGAGATTGTCAGTAAAGAGACACTCTTTTTCAGAAAATAAGCAATGGGAAACTATGGCATTAAAAAGTATAACTATTGAAATTGAAAATTCACTAGATAGGCTCAAAAGCAAATTCGAGCTGGCAGAAGAATCAGAGAACCTGAAAATAGGTTAATTGATATTATATAGCCTGAGGAACAGAAAGAAAAAAGGAGAAGAAAAGAACAGAACCTCAAGGACCTATGGGACATCATTAAGCAATCAGATATGCTTATAATAGAGTAAAGAAGGGTGGAGGAGAATAGAAGTGGGAAGCAAAAAAGAGTATTTGAAGTAAAAGAAAAATATTTAAAAGCTCAACAAACTGTGAAATGGAAAAATTTAGAAATATATACCCAGATACTGCAAAATAAAGCTTGAAAAGACAAAGACAATCTTCAAAGCAGCAAAAGAGAGGACTCAACAAATGCTGTGAGCCACAATAAGATTAACAGCTGATGTATCATCAGAAGCCATGGGACTAGAAGGCAGTGGTATTACATATTCAAAGTACTATCAATCAATAATTTTATATTCAGCCAAACCACACTTCAAAAATTAAGACAAAATCAAGACACATTCAAATAAACAAAGATTAAGTGAATCTCTCTTTAGCAGGCCTGCCCTACATGAAATACTAAAATAAGTAAGTCCTGGACTGCCATGAAAGACCACTAGACAATAATCTGACCCTCCAAAGAAATAAAGAACATAGTGTAGATAATATAAAGTTATACATCAGTTCAGTTCAGTCACTCAGTCATGTCTGACTCTTTGCGACCCCATGAATCGCAGGACGCCAGGCCTCCCTGTCCATCACAAACTCCCGGAGTTTATTCAAACTCATTGTCCATGGAGTCAGTGATGCCATCCAGCCATCTCATTCTGTTGTCCCCTTCTCCTCCTGCCCCTAATCCCTCCCAGCATCAGGGTCTTCTCCAATGAGTCAACTCTTTGCATCAGGTGGCCAAAGTACTGGGGTTTCAGCCTCAGCATCAGTCCTTCCAATGAACACCTAGGACTGATCTCCTTCAGGATGGACTGGTTGGATCTCCTTGCAGTCCAAGAGACGCTCATGAGTCTTCTCCAACACCACACTTCAAAAGCATCAATTTTTCGGTGCTCAGCTTTCTTTATAGTCCAACTCTCACATCCACACATGACCACTGGAAAAACCATAGCCTTGACTAGACGGACCTTTGTTGGCAAAGTAATGTCTCTGCTTTTTAATATGCTGTCTAGGTTGGTCATAACTTTCC